GCTGGTCCTTTACGCCTTCAGCTGGTCCTTTACGCCTTCAGCTGGTCTTCTGCTCCTTTACGCTGTCAGATGTTTATTTTGCCCTTTTATTTTTTTAGCTAGTCTTTTGCTCCTTTAAACTTTTAGCTAGTTTTTTTTCTCAATTTGGCTTTCAGTTAGCTTTTTGTTACCTTTAGCCTCAGTTTCTTAGCTTGCCTTTTTCTACTTTTAGCCAACTTCTTCCTACTGTTGGCTAGCTTCCTGTTGCTTTTAGCTAGTGCTCATTTATTTTAACCACTTAGTTTTAGCTACTTCAGAACATTTTAGCAAAGTCACTTGTCAGTCACTCTGATTTTCCCAGAAAGTGTGATTCCTCCAGTTATTTACTGTGATCCAACACAGAACGACAAATTAACTTGACCCACATTTTGAATCATCTCTGCAGAACGAGCGTTTGAGTCACTGCTGGAAATGTGAAAATCTTTCATCTCATCCTGCCAAAACAGCAGAGCGCGAGGGGGCTTGTAAATATACCGTATATATATGATTTTTATTTATTTTTTAAACATCTTGACAGGAGCTCACTTTCAAAAAAAGACTGCGCGTTACTGAAAATAAATCACACTTTCAAAATAATCCAGCGTTGAGCAGTGTTCTTTTTGACAGCACCCATCAAAAGTTTGTGCTTCTCACTTGTCTGAGTTTCAAATTGAGTCTTCCATTTAATCCAGAGACCCTTCCCTCCTCGAGCTGACTCACTCGCTTTAAACAGACGAGACTTTCAGCTCACTCGTCCGTCCAGAGAACAATTAATACCGATTTAGAACCTGCCCGTCAGTCGAGTTTCCCTTAAGGCAGGAGAAGGAAACAGCAGCTGGCAGAAAAACTGCAGAACATTAATTAAAGCTGTCAAACTTAAGAGCATTCTTAATACTTTATGTCCATCACTTCATTTAACACACACTCGCCAAATGAACAGTGTTCTCCACAGGACATTCAATGACAAAGTGTCAGCTTAATGCAAACCAATGAGATTGTTTGCATTTGTGAATTAAATAAATAAAAACTCCCAGCACTTGTGTGTTTATAGGAGCTGAAAGTTGAGTAGAAAAATGTTACTTCTATCCTCTACCTCTTTTTATTTAAAAAAATTGGCAGAAAACATTCATTATTGCAGATTTATCTCAATACATTTAGATCCACAGTCATTTCTTAAACAAAGTTTAAGCCTCTTTACCGTTACCATATTTTTCGGAACATAAGGAGCATTTAAAATCCTTAAATTTTTACACAAGTCAACAGTGAGCCCTATAATCCAGTGTGCTTTATGTATTAATTCTGGTTGTGCTTACTGACCTCAAACCAATTTTCCATCCATCCATCCATCTATCCTCTTCCGCTGCGTTCATTGATATTGCCCCTTATAATCCAAAAAATACGGCAACTATCGCTACTTTTCCCATGTGATAAAACAAAATATCTGAGCACTATTTTCTTTATCGAACACATCTGAAACATCCAAAAAAGGAAGCCTCTATACCGCTGTTCCACCGTGCAACAAATGCATGACAAAACAGGCAGACGTTCTTGATGCAAAAACCACAACTTTACTCGACAGAGCTTCATGCAGATGGCAACTGTTAACCGTATTAAAAAGGGGCATCTATGCATCTTTTGTACAAGCAACTATTTAGGTAAAAAACTGAACTATGATGTTAAAGTTTGTCGGGAAATCAAGTTGAACAAGTCGACTTACTGGTTAGAGATGCAGCAGCATGAGTTAGCAAATATTTGCTTATAAAAATAGATTTTAACAGTTTGCATAAGATGATGGTTTGAAATTCGGGCCGTGCTTTACAACTTTTACTATCAGAGCTGAATTTCAGCAACAGGAAATTGGACAACAATTATTTGTTGTACTATATTAATGGCAAAAAGTAAGATTTCTACAATCAACTTACTGATTTCATCAAATTCTGAAAAATCAAAATCAGTTGCTTCAGTTAAATAAAAAGACTTAAAACCAAACTCGAGCTTAAGTTTCAATTTTTCTAAATGGACTTTTATGAGCTTCCAAAGGTCACGGCTTTGGAGCCAATACAGGACAACCACCTGAGCACAGTCACAGAAACGTCATCGCAGACTGAAACCATTATCAACTCTGACCATTGTAAACATTTAGATGCACTTTCTGGTTCTGCTTGGATAAGTTCTATAGTGAAGGTGGGACCATAATGTCTCCTTGAAAAGTGCTGATCGACCTCAAAGAGTCTGGAAATCCTTAGTTTAAGTAAAAAAACTGCAAAGCTTTTGTATTTATTCTGCATTACTTTAAGTGTGTTGACTGCAAAACTATTCAGACTATTGCAATAAATGTACATTTTGAAAATAATCTCTTACAGCACATATCTATTTGTTTGTAATTAAAGAGCAAGCATTCCTTGTAGATTATTCGCATATCGCCCCTTCAATGCCAGAGATTTAAACTAAAATCATAATATGCTGTGAAGAGTCACAGCCGCTTTCAAACATCAAATTATGTCACAACTGCAACTTCATGCAATAATTTGAGATTTTGTTTAAAAGTTAACCAGTTGTAAATTTACATCTAATGGTTACTTTAAGAGTTTCATTAACATCTCATCATTGGTTCATGAGATATTTTGCTAACAGACAGATACAAACTAATGCACACAGACGAGCACAAACAGTGTTGCCTCTGGCTTTTGGCAGTGGGTGATAATGACAAACATTAAAACCAGGCGCATAGATCCCTTAAAAACATCAAAATAAATAAAATGTCACCGAGCAGAAAAACTTTGGAATTTCAAAATAAAGGCGTACAATAAATCCATCTTGAACATCCAGTTTATAGTCTGTGTTTATCGTACCCGTTTAATAACGTAGCTACTCAACATTTTTAGACCACTATATCAAAACGCAGCCGTTAACCTGAAAACGATCAGTAAATTTGCCACCTGGGTGCATTAACGGCCATGCTGTTACAGAGCGAGAGGCGCGTGTCTCAGACATTACTGCTGCGGGTCATCCCTGGTGACAAAATAACCCTGAAATCTATTAGTACAATTAAATGCTTTATCTTCTTAAGAGGCTCAGGAGGGTGACGAATGAAACCAAGGCAGGCTGTTGGCTTTAGGAACAATGGAGGAGAAAGAAAAGGGAAGACAGACGGTGGTTGATCAGTGAGGTGACCCTGATCGGGGCAATTCACTGTAAATAAAAGGATGCCAATCAGTTGCTTTCTGTTGTAGGGCATCGTCAGCCAACGAAGGTGAAAGCGATAATGTTTCTGCTTACATCTGTATCTGTGTTCGTTTATCCGTAGCGTCGGCAAAAAAAAAACAAAACAAACAAAAAAAAAACCTCTAACCAATGATCAAATTTTTATGAAAATTTATCAAACAATCTAAAACTGAACTTCTGGAATCAACCCGATTCAAAATGTCAGAGCAAAGCAACGTTGGCGAACAACAAACGACTATAACTCAGCAAATTTTACAAATATTGAGCAAGTATTTGATGAGTTAGAAGTACAGTAGTCCCTCGCTACTTCGCGGTTCGTTTATCGCGGACTCGCTCTATCGCGGTTTTTCAAAATAAGATTGGACATGACAACTGGCTGATTTATGAGTCGCACGATCTGCATGGAATTTTTATTTTAAATGATTTTAAATTATTTGGCACCCCAAAGCTGAAGAAACAGCTTCCTCTTGTACCTTTGTGCAGCCCACACTGCATGATAAACTTCCTGCTGCAACTGATGTTTCTTCCTTCTGATCTTCCTTCAGATGATGAAACAAGTGCCAACTGAGTTTGTTTAGACATAATTTAGTTCACAAATCCGAGATAAAGCTTACCTAAATTTTAACGTTAGAGCTAGAACCTTAGTCCAAACTGAATACACCTATTCTCAAAGTCTTCAGACTACCTATATTATTTACCCTTTTGAAATAATACTATTGGTTATTCATTCATATTTTCCATATTGTCATTATTCAAACTGAAAATAAACGTTACAGAACTGTGTATTTAAATTACTGGATTCTGTCTTTTCTTCGAGAGAGGGGGATTATATTTGTTACAAAGACTCATGTATATGTTTTTAGGTTGAGGCCGGTCAACATTTATTACATAACTTGAAGGGTTAGTGTATACACCTGCTAAAAGGTGTTCAGACCAGCCTTCCCACTACATATTTTATTGGCGGGTAGTTATTCTCAACGTATAGCTCAAGTGCAAGGGATCCGTTTTTTTTTTTTTTTGTTTGACTTTTCTAATTACATCAACCCAGTCTGTTAAAATATCTCTTGCACCTCTGCATGGATATTGATAAAATGTCCCCAAATGAATCGATAGGTGCACATCTAACTGATTACCATGTGGAGTCTACTCATTTTAAGATGGCCACCACAGTTGATCAATCATAGTCAACACAAAAAATGCCTAAACCACAGTGGATTTTATGGATATTGATCTATCTTGGTGTGGTAGTGACCGAGACTCATACTCATGGTCTGAGCGCCAACATATCTTACAGGATCTCACGATACTGCATCTTCATTATAAGATTTGACCAAAACGGCAGTAATACTGCGATATCTCAGGATTATTTTTGTTTGACGTTTTGGTCTGAAAGGCAGCAGGTGATTTGCTTCATGGCAGACTTTTTAAATTAATTTTGTGCGTGTCTTGCTTCACTCACCTTTGATATGTTGCTGGACCTGCTTGCTGAATGACCCAGAGGTTTTTCATTCTGTAAAAAGACATGAAAACAGCCTCAATGAGTAAAAAACAAAAAACAAACAAACAAGACCAACCCGTTCATAATTCGTGGCAATTCATTTCATGTGTGCTCAGAAAAAGTGTCCTCCCCCATTACTGAAAGGGAGAACGTGGATATATAATTTGGTTTTGGACGGATTCATCATGACTGACTCGAGCTGCATTTCTCAGAAGCTCGGGAGTTCTTAGCCCGACTTGTTTGGCATCTTAAGGTGGTAAATCAAGTTCGGCCTGGCACGAGACGAATGAAAGACGAGCTGATTGCACAACGCATTCGTCCAAACTCCAAATCAAATTGTGTCACAATATTTGCATCATTGACCGAGGAGCAAAACAAGCAAAACACTTCCAGAGCTGTCAAGTCTCATAACGAAGCTTTAAAGATCGTCAGTTTTCAACTCGCTGTCCTCGGCTTGCATAAGAGTCGGGGATTAACAGCCACTGGGACGTTGTGCTTCATTAAATATTGGTATTAAAGCCATGCATGCTTCCTTTATGAGTAATCAATCACAGTTACATAATGCAGAGTTCATGCTGGGCCCGATGGGGCGACTGCAGAATCATGAACAAGTTATTAGAAACCAGCACAGTGGGAGCAGGTTTTCAGCTTAACATGAGCGGCTGGCTCCTTTTAACAATTAGGAGAAAAATAAAATATTACTGCCTTCAAAGTAAGGACCACACACAGACTAATCTTGACTCCATAACTCTAACACTACTTATTTTATTGGTTATGACTAATAGTTATAATGTTACTGTCTCTTAGGGATTTAATTCATTTTTTATCGTCTTTTTACACTTCAGCTCTAATTTATACATCAAGTCTCATTGTTTCCCAGCAGTACAAAATAAATACAGGAGTCTAAAACTTTTGCACATTTTTTAGGTTCAAATAGCATCGACAAGTACAGATCAAAGATAATACTACAAATGGTCAAATAAATGAAACAATGCAGCCGTCTTATTGCAGCAAACACTTTGCGTTCGAATATGTCTGACTAGCTAAAGTTCAGGTGGAAATCTGAATGCTGTGAGGACTGGACTCTCAGTGGATGATGAGCCAACAGACTTGTATACAATTATTTTCTGGCCCCATGCATATTTTTGATAAAGGCCGTCTTGACTTTAGTGTGTGGGTCTGTTAGCAGGCAAACTGTTAATACAACGTTCAAAGTGGACTCAAATACTCAAGCTTGTAAAAACAGAAAACAGAGAAGAAAGAGGTCATTTTCAGATATTTTTCCACATGTCTCTGTTCTTAGCCTAAAGGAAGGAGTCATGCTAAATTTTATTCATGAGCTCTACGAAGACAAATCTCAATTTAACTGCCCTCTTTTCACTTATAAACAAAACCTGTTCATATCAAATGTTATTTGATGATGGTGGTAAGATCACCATTTTGATAATTGTGAACACTAAACGGTTGACAAATAAAGATGTTATGCTAAACCTGAGCTATTATTTTTAGAGATGGGCATCATAAAACATGAGGCTACACGTCTTGAGTCTGTTGTCTCAGTGGAAAAATGGAGGAGTGTGTATCTGCATTTAAGGAGAAAAACCTAAAAACTAGGAGCAGATCTCAACTGGCTGCAACTCTGTTCCCATCATGCATTGTAAAGAGCCGTTCCAAAGATCCAAATCATTTGTGAACTTCGCATCTCTAACCGTTTTCTCTCGACCCTACTTGTTGCATTGTGGCACCAATGTGGCATCCCAAATAGGGGTGCACCGACGGTGCACCCTTAATTTTGGGAAATCGGCTGATATTTGCACGAGAAACAGATTTTACAGATTTTTTTTTATATATATATATATATATATTTTTAACAACAATTGTCTGAACATTTATATTACAGATCACTACCTCATGGCCAGTTAAAATAAGTTTGTTTTGTTCTAGGATACTGTTCAAGGGTATGTTTTTCAACAAAATAATATTGGAAAATTTATGGTGCATTGTGACCTTATAACACCTGACCGTGTCGCTTATAAAATAAAATCGGTGATCGGCCAGAAAACTGCAATCGGTGCACCCCGAGTCCCAAACCTTTTTTTTTTTAATGTAGAAGTAGGGCTCTCTGTTTTTTGATTGCAAAATGCAACTAAGAGACCACAAAATGCTAAAAAACTGAATAAAGGAAAATAAATGCAGTCTATTTTGTGTAATTTTACAGCAGCAACAAAGTGACACATATCCACATAAATGTTAATTTGTCGAACTTTACAGAGTAAAGTTCCAACACGGCATATCATCAACCCTATAAACTCTTTATTTGATTGCTTCTGAAACATAATCAGCCTTCATTTATTTCAACTTTCGACTTCTTAAGAGTATCGTTCAGAATCCAACAGGGGACTTGCCCAGACTTGCCTCTGCTGCTCAGCACAGACAGAAAATGGGATGTTTATTGAAAACACTCAGCGCAACAGAGTTTGTGTTTTCTATCCGTGCACAAGCTACTAACGCTCTTCAGAGCTGCAGTGCAACGCAAGAGTCCAGCTGTGGAAAAAATAAAATCATTTCCAGCAACATGCGGAGGCAAACGTCTCTGTTGCCTGGGACGATGCGATCGCTTGTAAACAGCATTAATATTACAACGTGATGCGAGCATGGAAAACTGCACGAGCCTCCTTTAAAAAAGGCACCACAGAGACGGGTCTCGCTGTAATCTGCCTCTGAAGCACTCCTACACTGCAGGACCAAAATATAAACATAAAAAAAATGGTTAAAAGTTTATATAACCTATGACACAAACTGAAAAGTAGAAAAAAATACCATTTTCAACCTTAAAGACTGAAGCAACACCAGTTAAAGCAGCTTCTGCGTCTTATCCGTACATCCTTAAATGAAACTACTTCATTCTATTGTATAGCAAGCTGTAAAACATTTCATCTAAAGTGTTGCAATAAAAAATAGACAAACAGTTTTAGTTTTTATTCCATCTCTCGAGACAAATTGCTGACATCCTGACAAGGAGAGGAAGGGAAAAACAAATGAGGCAGGAGGATTTCTTACAGTGATCAGGTGACTGTTGAAGGAAATAAACGAGTAAAATTAATTGACAGCTGTTTGCGTGCCATTACTCTCTTCCTGCATCATTTTCTTTGTAAATATCTTTTGAGAGACCTCTGCAGGTGGTTGGACTCATCCAGACTTAAGACTTAGACTGAAGTCAAAGGTTTAGCTAATAACCACAGTTCATTGACGTCCAGCTCAACCGCAGCTCTACTTTAAGCCGCTAGAATCGGCCTATCAGGGCGTTTTCCTTACCCAAACTGAACATGATAAACTTCCACAAACTGCAGGATATAAATCCAAGAACCAGGGACTTCTAGTCTAATCAAAAAACTGCGCAAATATCTGCATGGAGGAGAAAATAAAGCTCAGGGACAAACGAAGAGCAGATAAAGTATGGCAAAGCATACTGTAAACACAAATGTGATTTATACAAAGACCAAGAGAGGGACTGAGAAGGGGTAGAGACAGGGCAGCCAATCTGGGACTAGGGTTCACGATATTATCGGCATTGTATTTGTATCGGCCGATATTAGAGTTAAAGTTAAATATTGCACATTCCATCAAAATAACTCACCGATATAAAAAGGTGCCGTTTTTGTACGACAACCCAGTGACAAGAACGCCTGCAGCGCCAGCACAATGTGATGTCATGCACGTCTACCTGATCTGATCACTGCAGAGAGGGAGAAGTCAAAATGTCAGCAGTGTGGAAGTTTTTTTTTTTTTTTTTTTGAGGATGTTGGATTCCAAGGATTTTTGGACTAAATTGAGTCTCGCTACATCATCCCCAGTCAGAGACATTTTCCCGACAGCCTTACCTGAGTTACAAACCATTTCCAACGTCATTGAGAAGCTAAGAGCCGATAGAAATGGGTGAGTTTTATCACAGATATTTGGACGTCGTGTTAGCCCCATTAGCATAATTAGTCTTACAGCACAATGGATAAACTTTGAACTTAAAAGGTTGTCCTTCATGCACAAGAGTGCAGAGGATCCCACGCTGCAGCTAGAAACCTAGAATAAGCCTCCACATGTGAGGCAGCATCGGAGGTGACTAATGCTAATAAATAATATTCAACACTTTTCATTTAATACAAGTTAAAGTGTTATGCATATGGCTGTTACTGAATATATGTCACCAGTTCTTACAGCCGTTACACAATATTTGTAGCAAATAAGTCTAAGTAAGAGGGCTATGTTCTGACAAAGTATATAAAAAATATCCGTATTGGTTATCGGCCAAATAAGTTTTAACATATCGGCATATCAGATATCAGCCAAAAGTCCAATATCACGCAGAAAGTCTTGGCTCGACTCCCAGCCATTCACACATGTCATGTCTCTGAGCAAGACACTTAATCCCTAATTGTTCCCTGGGTGCTGAATAACTGCCCACTGGTGTATCCCAGGTGTGATGGGTTAAATGCAGAGACTCAATTTCGTCATTGTATGTTCGACAGCATACAGCACTTGTACTTAAACATGGTCACTATTCACTAGTGAAATAATATTTCGAACAAGAAACATTTGAAGGCTGCCAATGGAGCCAATGCCAATTAATGAGACAAACAGAAAATTACGCCTCAAACAGTTGCTGTGCAAAAACTACAAGTCTTATATTAAAAGATTCTTGAGCTGTGAGCAGCAGAAGACAGATGGTCATACATGCAAATTTTTATGTTTCTACACAGTTTTATACTGGAGATAAAACAAGTAAATTAAAATCTTCACTTCAAGTTTTAAGAGAATATTTCTAGCTAAAGTATATCTGAAGTCTGTGGAAGCCCGGCTGTGGGCTCTCTGTATTCTGGGGAATGTAAGAGAAAAATCATGCATCAGATTGAGACTCACTGCACGAACGATGACAACAATCTCTGTCGTGATGAATTATTCGTATGTGCATTGAATCCCTTCGCACATGGATGTTTTTATATATAAAGCACAGCTGT